TCCGTCTCAAAAAAAAAAAAAAAAAAAAAAAATTTGTACTCTGTTTTGGTGTCAGGGAGTATTTAAAATTCCTACAGTTATATATCTTTCCCTTAGTTCTGTAGAACTACAGGGAGAAAGAGAGCAATTACAGGCATATCTTATTTTATTGTGTTACATCTTTATTGTGCTTTGAAGACACTGTGTTTTTGAAAAATTGAAGGTTTATGGCAACCCTGCATTAAGGAAGTCTATTGGCACCATTTTTTTTCAACAGCATGTGCTCACTTTATATCTCTTGATACATTTTGTTAATTCTCACAATATTTCAAACTCTTTCATTGTTAGTACATATGTTATGGTGGTCTGTGATCAGCGATCTCTGATGGTACTATTGTAATTGTTTTGGGACACCACAAACTGTGCCCATAATCGATAAATGTTGCATGTGTTCTGACTGCCCCATCGACTGACCGTTCCCCTGTCTCCCTTTCCTCAGGCCTCCCTGTTCCCTGAGATACAACAATACTGAAATTAGGCCAGCTCATAACCCTTTAAGTGGCCTCTAAGTGTTCAAGGAAAAGGAAGAATCACATATCTCTCACTTTAAATCAAAAGGTGGAAATGATTAGTCTTAGTGAGGAAGGCATATCCAGAGCTGAGGTAGGCTGAAAGCTAGGCCTTTTGCATCAGTAAGTTAGCCAAGTTGTGGATGCAAAGGAAAAGTTCTTGAAGAAAATGAAAAGTGCTACTCCAGTGAAAACACAAATAATAAGAAAACAAAACAGCTAATTGTTAATACGAAGAAAGTTTCAGTGGTCTGGATAGAAGATCAAACCAGACAGACATTCCCTTAAGCCTAGTCCAGAGCAAGGCCCCAACTCTCTTCAGTTCTATGAAGGCTGAGAGAGGAAAGGAAGATGCAGAAGAAAAGTCTGAAGCTAAAAGAGGTTGCTCCATGAGGTTTAAAGAAAGAAGCCATCTCCAGAACATAAAAATGCAGGGGAAAGCAGCAAGTGCTGTTTATAGAAGCTGCAGCAAGTTATCCAGAAGATCTAGCTGAGATCATTGGTGAGGGTGGCCACACAAAACAACAGATTTTCAGTGTAGATGGAACACCCTTGTATTGGAAGAAGATGCCATCTAGGATTTTCATAGCTAGAAAGGAGGAGTGAGTGCCTGGCTTTAAAAGACAAGCTGACTCTCTACTTAGGAGCTAATGCAGCTGGTAACTTGAAGTAGAAGCTAATACTCATTTCCCATTCCAAAAACCCTAAGGCTTATAAGAATTATGCTAAAACTATTTGGCCTGTGCTCTATAAATGGAACAACAAAGCCTAGATGACAGCATGGTTTACTGAATATTTTAAGCCTTCTGTTGAGACCCACTGCTCAGAATAAAAGATTCCTTTGAAAATATTACTGCTTATTGACAATGCACCTCATCATCCAAGAGCTCTGATGGAGGTTTACAAGGAGCTTAATGTTGTTTTCATGCCTGTTGACATCCATTCTGCAGCCCATGGACAAAAGAGTAATTTTGACTTTCCAAACTTGTTAAATAAATACATTTCATATGTTCATATTGTTCTAATACAAGTTTAAAAAATGAAAGAAATATATTTCATAAGATGCAAGCTGCCATAGTGAGTGATTCCTCTAATGGATCTGGGCAAACTAAATAGAAAAACCTGCTGTAAAAGATTCACCATTCTAGATGCCATTAACATTTGTGATTCATGGGAGGAAGTCAAAACATCAGCATTTTTCAGGAGTTCAGAAGAAGTTGATTCTAACTCTCACGGATGACTTTGAGGGGTTCAAGACTTCAGTGGAGGAAGTAACCCCCATTGTGGTGGAAATAACAAGGGAACAAGAATTAATAATAGAGCCTCAAGATGTGACTGAATTGCTGCAATCTCATGATAAAACTTGAACAGGTGAGGAATGTTGCTTCTATGGATGAGCGAAGAAAGTGGTTTCTTAAGATGGAATCTACTCCTGCTGAAGATGAAATGACAACAAAGGATTTAGAGTATTACATAAATTTAGCTGATAAAGCAGTAGCAGGGTTCGAGAGGACTGACTTCAATTTTGAAAGCAGTTCTACTGGGAGTAAAATGCTAACAAACTGCATCACATGCTATAGAGAAATCTTTCATGAAAGAAAGAGTCAAAGTAGCAAACTTTATTGTCTTCTTTTAAGAAATCGCCGGTGTGCACGCACGCGCAGCAGACATTACATCCAAGAGGAAATAATCCAGGCAAGGAAGCACAAGCTAATCAAGATGTGTAGTTCTGTCGCTGCCAAGTTGTAGTTTTTGACAGATCGTCGCGTCAGGGAAGACTATCCTCAAAAAGAGATTTTACGAGCAGTGAAGGCCAAATGTTGTGAGGAGGAACTGGACTTTAGGGCTGTGGTGATGGATGAGGTGGTGCTGACAATCGAGCAAGGAAACCTGGGTCTGCAGATCAATGGAGAGCTAATCACTGCCTACCCACAAGTGGTGGTACAGTACCAACCCCTTGGGTGCAAAGTGATAGTGACATCACTGTTTTGCGCCATCTAGAGAAGATGGGATGCCGGTTAATGAACCGACCTCAAGCCATCCTGAACTGCATTAATAAGTTCTGGACATTTCAAGAGTTAGCTGGCCATGGTGTTCCTCTGCCAGATACTTTCTCTTATGGTGGCCATAAAAATTTTGCTAAAATGATGATGAAGCAGAAGTACTGGAGTTCCCAATGGTAGTAAAGAATACGCGGGGTCATAGAGGTAAAGCTGTTTTCTTGGCTCAAGATAAGCACCATTTGGCTGATCTAAGCCATCTTATTCGCCATGAAGCACCATACCTGTTCCAGAAGTATGTTAAAGAGTCTCATGGACGAGATGTACGTGTCATTGTCGTGGGAGGCTGTGTGGTTGGCACCATGTTACGTTGTTCAACAGATGGGAGAATGCAAAGCAACTGCTCATTAGGTGGTGTGGGGATGATGTGCTCATTGATTGAACAAGGGAAGCAGCTAGCTATCCAGGTGTCTAATATCCTGGGGATGGATGTGTGTGGCATTGACCTGTTGATGAAAGATGACGGCTCCTTCTGCGTCTGTGAGGCCAATGCAAATGTAGGTTTCATCGCCTTTGATAAGGCGTATCATAGGTCTAGATGTAGCTGGTATCATAGCAGACTATGCTGCCTCCCTTCTACCCTCTGGCCGGCTCACCCGGCGTATGTCCCTGCTCTCTGTGGTGTCCACTGCCAGTGAGACTAGTGAGCTGGGTCCCCCAGCCAGTACTGCTGTTGACAACATGAGTGCAAGTTCCAGCTCGGTTGACGGCGACCCTGAAAGCACGGAGCGGAGCGGAGGGAGAGCTGCTCACCAAGCTCCCAGGTGGCCTGTTCAACATGAACCAGCTGCTAGCCAATGAAATCAAACTACTGGTGGACTGACTCCACTGGTAATTAACCAACAAAACCCTTGTAAAACTTTCTTTCTTTTCTATTTTTGAAACCAACTTGCAATGCTGTTCATGGAGGATGCTCAGGAAGATGAGAGAAAATTAGTAGGATTAGTTGGAGAGAGAGGGAGATAGATGAGACCTCTGCTCGTAAGATGTTACTTTCATTTACAAATCCTACAAATAGAGAGGCAGAATAGGTGGGTTATAGAAAAATGTCAGGCTCTCATAGTTACCCTTTTAAACTGCTAGAAAATTTGTATACTCATAGGCCATGAGGCACAAAAAAAATTTTTTTTCATGGTCCCTTGCTCTTGTTTTTGTACCAAAAAAACCCAGTTTTGCTACAAATATCTGAGTAGCATAACTTCACATTGTGTTGGAAGATTTGTCATTGAGGAAAACATCTGCTTAAATTACAGGAACTTTTATATTATACAGCTCTGAAAATTCTGCCATTTCCTTATTAACTAGCAGCTTTAATTTGTAGTTTATGAAATCTTGAGGACTCTTTTACTGGGATTTCTTATTTTTGTTTTTTGTTTTTTCCCCCTTAATTTGGTGGGAGGGTCAAAGTGACTATAACCCAATAAAGACTTCTTAATGACAAAAAAAAAAAAAAAAGAAATCGCCACAGCTACTCCAGCCTTCAGCAACCAACACCCTGATCAGTCAGCAGCCATCAACATTAATACAAGACTCCAACCAGCAAAAAGATTAGGACTCACTGAAGGGTCAGGCAATAAATATTTTTATAAATTAAGTTATACATATTGTTTTCTTAGATATAATACTATTGCAAACTTAATAGACTGCAGTATAGCATAAATATAACTTTTATATGTGCTAGGAAAAACCAAATACACTGGCTTTATTGAGAAATTTGCTTTATTGCAATGGTCTGGAACTGAACCTACAGTATCTCCTAGGTATGTCTATACATGAATGCATTTGGCTTCTTTTTAAAATTCTACTTTAATGCAGAATATTTGATCATTGATTATTATGCATTCAGAGAATAAGTGTATATTTTTTAAAATAATGGAAAAAAGTATAATTGACTCAAAGAGTCATAAATGTCTAGGACATTTAAGATAGAGTCATATCTAAACTACTGTGCCTCTCTCTTTAGTGAAATAATTCATTCACTATGTCATGGAACTTCTTGTAATAATAGCAACTAAGCATTACAGAATACATATAGCTAAACATTATAGAATATATTTATTATTATTATCACTTTCTTTGGTCAAAATATCTAGTTTTACATATCAACTTGGACTCTAAAATTATTTCTTGTATAATCCTTATGTTTCTATTGCAGGAAAGATTTTAAACTTTGTATAAAAACTTTCAAGCAAAACTTTAAAAATATCGTTTTAAAAATATCTTATATTTATTTAAATTTGGCGTAAAGCTTGAAACTCATTTTAATCTGATCACTTTTAACATTTCAGATTACTGAATTCATGTTATTGAAAATGTATAAGACATATTGGTATAAAAATTTAAGCATATTAAGAGTTAAAGTTATAATTTTTGTTGGCTTATTTGTTTTTAGCATTCCATATTGGAAGAAGAGCTTTCTACACGTGAAAAAAATGCCCTTGTTTAGCAAATCACACAAAAATCCAGCAGAAATTGTGAAAATCCTGAAAGACAATTTGGCCATTTTGGAAAAGCAAGACAAAAAGACAGACAAGGTATGAGCTAAAACAGTAACATTATGATGAAAGTACATGCAATGCCAAAAACCAGTGTAAAAGCTTAATGAAGAATTCAAAATATGGTCTGTGATGTGAACATAGAGCCTCTATAAATAAATTGAAGTTGATTTCAAGTTTTATGAAACTGATTATTATTTAGTCTGTTGGGATGAACTTTAGGTTCATTCTCTAGAGACTCTGACCAACACTGGATCCCACTAGACTACATAGCTTAAAGATCTAAAAGGTTATACTGGTGTGTAATGTTACATTTACATGAAAGATAAAAAGTTTTTATTTAAAGATTAACTGATGGTTTCTGTTACAGTGAATCTCATTTTCATATGGTTTTAAGGTCTTATTCAATGGGGCTTCCTCACAGGAATGTTAGTTATTCCTTCAAAGGGATATTGAATCCTATATATCCGATATCTCTATAAAGTGACTAGTTTATGGCAAGATTCAAGATATCTATAAAAGAAATACACAAGTTCATAGTATCCTTCTATTCCAGTAAATGATACAATCTTAAATTCTACAAGGAGTGCAGAAATAGCTTATTCCAATTCTAGTACACTTTGTAATATTGAGCCAAATCTTGGCCCAAATAGAAGAAAAATGGCCTTTTTTGCAAGTATAAATCTAAATGGTAAAGAGAAAAAAAAGAAAAAAAAATCCCTTTTACACGTTTTCATTAGTAACTAGGAAAAGGCCAACTAAAACCACAATAAATTCACATTATGCAACTACTGCCTTGGCAAAAATGAAAAGATGTGATGATGTTAAGTGCTGACAAGGATGGAGAGCAATGAGGACTTTTCATTAACTGTGGATGATGACGTATACATTTATGTAACTGCTTTGAAAACCAGTTTATTATTATCTGTGAAATATGAAGATATGCATGTACTAATATCCTGCAGTGCCACTCCCAGTTGTAAACTCTAGAGGTATTCTTGCACATCTGTGCCAGGAAAAAGGTACAAGAATGTTCATAGCATTGTTGTTAATAAAAACCCCTGAATGGAAACAACCCAATGTCCATGAACAGTAGAACCAATAACAAAGTTGTGGTATAGGCATTAGTGCGGAACATTGGAAAGTGATAAAAATTAAAGAACTTCTGCCTACATGCAACAGCATAGATGAATTTCTCAAATATAATGTTGAATGAAAGAAGCAAATTATGAAAGGGTAATGTACTGGTCCATAAAGTTGAAAATCAGTGGAACTAAGCTATATTGTTTCAGCCTAAGTTTTCTCATCTATAAAATAGGAATAATAAGAAATGTAAAGACATGTTTGTCACAAGAGATATAAAAGTATTTACATCTGAACTGAAAGGAGCCTTCAGGTGACTCCTGGGTGCTGAAAATGTTCTGTTTCTTGACTGGGTGATGGTCATAAAGATGTCTGCTTTATGATTATTCTTAACTCTCTCTTAAACATACTCTCTGTGTATGTTTACAGCACTCTTCTGTGGCCATATCTCACAATTTAAGATGCTTCCGGTCTAGTACATTAAGGATTGCTTCAGTCAGGCTATTAAGGATATGAAAAATTACTTTTTAAAAGTAGTGTCAAAATTAGCCAGGCACGGTGGTGGGTGCCTGTAATCCCAGCTGCTAGGGAGTATGAGGGTGGAGAATCGCTTGAACCCAGGAGGCAGAGGTTGCAGTAAGTTGAGATCATGCCGTTGCACTCCAACCTGGGTGACAAGAGCAAAACTCCATCTCAAAAATAAATAAATAAATAAAAGTAGTGTCACCCAAGAAGCAGAGCTAGAGACAAATAAAAATAAATAAATAATAAAAGTAGCATAATGCTACCATGAGTTATTTTTATGTAATTTGCCTTATTCTACTCATTTCCTTCTTCATTTATAGTGATTACAGTATTATACTTAAAAGTAATAAAAGTATATTTCTTTTAAAATATTCATACAAATTATTAACTAAATTAGTCTGCTCTCCTTTCCTACCTATATTAATTTAAAAGATTTTAAAATTGAGATATAATTAATATACCATATAATTCACTATTTAAAGTGTGCAATTCATTGGTTTTTAGCACATTCACAAGGTTTTGCAACCATCACCACTATCTAATTCTAGAACATTTTCATCACCCGCAAAAGAAACCCTGGAGCCATTAGTAGTCATTGCTTATTTCCCTCTCCCCCAGGCCCTAATACCCACGAATCTATGTACTTTCTGCCTCTATGGATTTGCCTAGTATTCTTTAAAATATAGTGAGGCTTTTTTTTTAAGTTTCATAGATAGCAAAAAAGACAGTGATTCTGTATGAGGAATAAATGAATTGACAAAGAAAGCTTATGAGTTTTGACAATTTACAATTGTATACTTGGACCATTCAAAAATCAAAAGAATAGGAATTTGTTGAAAAACCTTAACACAATGCTTTAAATAAAGATTAGCAGCTACTGATAAGTCTTCAAAATGGAATCAATTTAATTTTCAAGAATAAAGTTTATGTTGAATTGCTAGCAAAATTAGACAATGAGTGTGGTTTAAAAGATTATTGGGATGGATGCGATGGCTTATGCCTGTAATCCCAGCACTTTGGGAGGCTGAGGTGGGCAAATTACGAGGTCAGGAGATCGAGGCCATCCTGGCTAACGCGGTGAAACCCCATCTCTACTAAAAATACAAAAATTAGCTGGGCGTGGGGGTGGGCGCCTGTAGTCCCCATACTTGGGAGGCTGAGGCAGGAGAATGGTGTGAACCCAGGAGGTGGAGCTTGCACTGAGCCGAGATTGTGCCACTGCATTCCAGACTGGGCAACAGAGCAAGACTCCATCTAAAAAAAAAAAAAAAAAGATTATTTAATGTATGTTGACTAAGTAGAAATACCAGAGAGCTTTTTTATATAAATACATTTTATAATATTTATAATATTTTCCGAAATGAAAAAGGCAGTGCTTACTGTTTTTGTTTGTTTGTAACTGTACCATCAATTGTAAATAAACAGAGCCCAAGACCAAGAAGTGGTTTTTTGGATTATTCGTTTGTTTATAGCCTAAAAATTTTGATTTTGATTCTTTTAACTGTTAGCATACTTTTTGGTCACTAGGCTTCAGAAGAAGTGTCGAAATCACTGCAAGCAATGAAAGAAATTCTGTGTGGTACAAATGAAAAAGAACCCCCAACAGAAGCAGTGGCTCAGCTAGCACAAGAACTCTACAATAGTGGCCTGCTGGTGACACTGATAGCTGACTTGCAGCTGATAGACTTTGAGGTAAACCGGCTGTAAAAGGACGCCAGTGGTGCTTTTCAATTTTAACATATATCTATCACTATTTCGACTTTTACTTTTCATTATTGCTTTCCATATGTTATTTTTTAAAGTTTTCTCTAAAACGTCTACAATTAATCTATTTTTTACAAAAGCAAAAAGCCAAACAATAGTTAAGTTTTATGCTGCTAGGTAGCAAAACTAATGGCTAATAGAAGTAATAATAAGAAATGACATTTGTTGAATGCTTGCTATATGCCAGGTACAGTTTCAAGCATTTAGCTCACTGAATTCTTAAAACTATCTTTGCGTTTAATACTGTATTATTAGCCCCATGTTATAGATAAAGAACCTAAAGTTCAAAGATATTAAGTAATTTGCCCAAAGTCACTCACTTACTTCAGAGCTTCAAATTCAGACAGTTCTTTTAATGAACACATTAGACTAATGATTTAAGAAATGTGTTAATTGCTAGTAATATGTTTATCTCCTTTTGAAAGCAATTATACCTCATTTACCTAAATAATACATTGACTAAGTAAAACAAAAGCTTAGAAATGTAAGTGGTGAATATGTGTAGTCATTTTATTATCTATTGTGTAACTCAGAGGTTGTGATTTTTCAGTGAGAAATGGATACATAGGCGAGTTCGAGCATTGACTGTTGAGGTGACAGAAGTCCTGGTTTGGCTTTGTTGCTTTGTTTCTACCATAATACCAATTTTGTTCCTATTGGGTAGGTACTTGGGTCTCCATTCATTCTCAGAGATAGAGGAGATATGCAAAGTGAATTGCTTTTCGTTTTGTTCACTGAATAAGTGGAAGGAAAACTAACGACAGTGATTACCATGATTAGAACAAGATCAGGTCAGGGCTCTGGGGATCTGTGGAAATAGTAGCCCGCAGCTCTCTGCACAAGTTAGACCAGGGAAGATTTTTAGCAGCTGAAGCAGAGGAGGAGGAGTGCAGAGCCAGGAGGCATGCAGTCCAGTTGTGGCTAGAAGCAAGACCAAGTGGGGACGCGGAAGGGCCTGGACTTCAGCTCATCCTTTCAGTTACAGCTGTCTTTTTCTTTCTTTCCCTTCCTTATTCAATCTCTGCCTTTGACATTTTCTGACCCATAACCTTTTTCTTTTTCCTCTTGCTTGGCTTGCTCACTCTCCCTCTCCATCTTAGGTCCCATTTCCTTTGAAAACCAGCTATATGTGAAATTATAGTCTTACTATATGTATATACTTTTCTGTTTCTTTTATTTAATTTAAAATTAGGTATTATGAACACTTGTAGAAGCTGTGGCATAGTGAAAAAAACACTTGACTCGGAATGAGAATTGCTTAGAGTCCCAGCTCTGCTATTTCATGGTCAGTAACTTAACTGCTTTGAGCTTAAGCTTTCTCATCTATAAAATAGGAATAATATGAACTTACAGCATTGTTTTGAATATTAAACTAAATAAAAATATATACATATATATGTTGTGTTATATAGGGACACTAAATATGAATGCAAACTGTATACAAATGTCAAGTAGTTGTATTCTTTCATTTCCTCTTTTTCTCAAACTCAAGAACTAAAGTTAAATGTAAGCTGGTTTGTTTTTGTTATAACCCTTGATTTTTTTTTTTTTTTTGTTATAACCCTTAATTTTTTTTTAGATTTAGTTGGTCAGTGACTATAAATAGGAAAACGATTCCCTATTCTTATAGTATTATAGTTTTATAAATTTACTATTGTTTTGCTCATTTCTCTGAGAACAGCAGCATATTAAGCTACTGTCATCACTAATTCATAAGTATGCTTGAGTTAGTTTATGAGATTAACCCAATTTGCAGTGGAGTGCTGGAAGGAATATGACTAAGGATGGTTATGTTTTGAAGAATGAGTCAGGGATGAGAGGTCATCAGGTTCAGTGACCTGGAGAAGCCTTGAGCAGCCACAGAACCTCAGGTTCAAAGTGCTCTCCAAGAATTGGGGAGTTAGGGAGGAGTATACCAAAGAAAAACTTTGGCTGTCTTACGACTTTCTTTGGCATTGGCTCAGATAACAAAAGAGGAACATAAGAAACAGTTATGTAAGTTCCCCTTCTTTTACGTGGCATAACAAATATAAATTAAAATTTTTGAGAAGAAGTTAATTTAAAAATTATTTTGGAAGTAAGGCATTTAGTTCCCTAAAATAGACTTGTACATTATTGTCAAGTAAACTTTTATTCTCTGGAATCCTTGGCGAAAGGAAGTATCTTTCTGAACATTTGAATTTTCCATATAGCTGAAGATTAAGCCTTCAAACGTGGAGTTAAATTGATTACTCTTGTGGATTACTTTAATTTTTAAAATAAAATGTATTATATACTTGCCTTCCCTCCTGAGTAATATAAGTTTTAAAACTGATGATTCAAAACTATTATGAAGATTTGTTATTGTGATAATAAGATAGCAGGCAACTCTTAACTTTGTTTATTCAATTGACATGACACATACCTAGAACGTAATTATAAGTGAATGTGATACTCCATAGATGCAGCCATCCTCCTTCTCTAGCCCGTAGAAAAGTATATATTTCTTGGTCGAATGCATAAATGAATGAATGAAAAGAAGTGAAAGTTTAGTACAGTTCAATTGTAAGCATTTCAACTACATACAGTATTTTCAGGAAGGAGGCGCTTCCTTCCTGCCATTATTAGCCTACTTGTAGAAACCTACTATGTTATCTCTATGAACTGGAGGCGTGGACGATCAGCCTGCAGGCGGCAACTCTCCTTCTCAAGCCTAAAGTATCTATATAAGCTAGTGACAGCTTGATAAAATTCCGTCTGACTTCAAACTTACTCCAACGACACAGAACCCCCCACTCCCATGTCTCTTGGTTCATGGCTTGCACTGGGACAACCACTTCTATGTTACCTCGAGTACTAGGACTGTGTTTGCCATACCTAGTGGCATGCTAGTATGTGAATTGATTGAATGAATGTAGTAATGAGAATGAGGGATCAAAGCAGAGGTAAAAGAATTGGACCAAAAGAAGGTGTCAGGACACACCAGTGAGCCATTTTTCTGGAGGAATTAGTAAATTGTTTAGAAGATAATTCAAACTCTTTGGAGTGATGATGATATGATTTCAGTAAGTGAATAGCCTCTCCTGGTGCTTCTTTGGAGAGAACAACAGTCATTTGACTGTAAAATTTCTGGTATGTTTTGATAACAGAAAGGAAAAATTATTATTTTAAGGATGGACTACAGCTTTTGCCAGATAACCTAGGAGAATGGCACATTCCTTACAGAGAAAAAAAGTGAATTTTTATTTAGAAGATACCATGATTGGCTTTTTTGTTAGTTTGAAAGGCTGAAGTCTCTAGGCAATTTCTGGAAGGAAAAGACTGAAAGAAAAAAGCTTAGATTTCCTTGGCAGAGAAAAGTAACAGAAATTTGAGAAATGCCCTCTTTGGCTAAGGTTGATAGGAGTAGGAAATAGAAGAAAGATAGGAGAAAGGTTTGGAGGGAGGGAGAGGGAGGGATCCAGAACCATGACAAAAGGAAGGTGTTCGTGGAGAAAGATGATCAGGAAGACTGAGGAACCTTTCATAAAAGTGATCTGTAGACTTCCACTTGAAGGTGTTTCTGCACTGTGCTGTAATTATCCTTTGTTCACCTTAAACCTTTGTAAAGGAACTCTGTACTAATCATACATGTTGAGGCCGGGCACGGTGGCTCATGACTGTAATCCCAGCACTTTGGGAGGCCAAGGCGGGTGGATCACGAGGTCAGGAGATCGAGACCATCCTGGCTAACACGGTGAAACTTCATCTCTATTAAAAATATAAAAATTAGCCGGGTGTGGTGGCGGGCCCCTGTAGTCCCAGCTACTCAGGAGGCTGAGGCAGGAGAATGGCATGAACCTGGGAGGCGGAGCTTGCAGTGAGCCAAGATTGCACCACTGAACTCCATCCTGGGAGTGAAGAAGGGATGGTTTTCTATACTTGGAGTAAACTGAGTGTTGAAAAAATAAACAGTTGCTGGAAACAAGGCAAGGAATGGGGGTTGAAGGGTGCTAGGAGCAGGGGTTTGGAACCCTGAGCTGACAGCAGTGATGGTGGCTGGCAGCACTGACTTAGACTGGGTGGCAGGGACTGACTCAGGAATCTTTGACAAACCCACTTCTCTGTCAGGAATCTAGAGGAAAGTGGCCCATTGGGGTAGGGACAATACTGGAGGATCCTGCTATCATCATGTGAATAATGGCTAGGAGGTCGGCCTTCGGGTTAAATAAAAATCTCATTATGTAGCTATAAATTTTTATCTAATCCTTTAAGCCTTAAAATTGCAGACAGACAAGAACCATTTCAGCATACTATTATGAGGTTCAAAAAATGATTTGTGACTGAGTTTGCAAGGCTTCTGATTTTTATGGGCTCAGGATCAAACTCAGCTGTGTTTTTTGAGGTTTGGCTACTATTCAAAACACAGCTTTATACTCTTTGATGTTTTGAAACACAACGTGATAAGAGATCAAAGGAGGGAAAATGTATTGCCTATAAGGTCTGATACATTCATTTTAAAGGCAGGTGTGCCTTGCAAAACTAGGATGGATGCAAAGTGAACTGTTCAGGCTGAATAAGCAGCTCAAAGAAGCAGAAAATTGTCTTCTGTGGTAACTTAATCCCTAATGATTATTTCTTGCCACATTAAAAAAAAAAAAATTAGCAAAACAGGCCCAGTGCAGTGGCTCACGCCTATAATCCCAGCACTTTGGGAGGCTGAGGTGGGAGGATTGCTTAAGCCCAGGAGTTTGAGGCCCCCTGGGCAACATGGCAAAACCCTGTCTCAACAAAAAATTTAAAAAAATAAAAATAAAAAAAAAAAAAGCAGGCCATGCGTGCCTGTGGTCCCAGCTACTCAGGTGGCTAAGGTGGAAGAATCACAGTGGTTGAGGCTACAGTGAGCCAAGATTGTGCCACTGCACTCCAGCTTGGGTAATAGAATGAGACCCTGTCTCAAAAGAAAAAAA